TGGTATGTCAATTGCAGTTCATGTTAACAATCAATGGCACATTGTAAGGATCTCTGCTGGTTTCTTCGAACACTTCGATGCCCGTACTACAACAGGAAGGACAGTGGGAGTGGATATCTTCCAATTTTATGATTTTCTAGCTCCTCACTTGAAACGTAATTCGCGTTTCACCATCATAGTTGAGAATGAAGGATCTACTTCGGATCGCATCAGGGTAAGGTATCAAGGTAAGGTATCAAGATAAGCAGCATTTTTGTGGAATTCATATGCTTGCTATGTGTGCATGGTTTCTTCTCAATGTTGAGTGATACGTAGCATTTATATTCTATAAGAAGTTAGTACGTTAATAGCCAGTGGAGAATTCACTAGCTAGGTAATTAAGTAGAGAATACAATATATTGCATTTATTGGATATATACTTAGGACTCAAGACTAGTGTTTATAATTTGTACCAAGAGAAAGAATGGAGAAGAACCAAGAAGAAGAAGAAGAAGGGAAACCAATTGAGTAGAGAATAAGAAGAGCACAATAATGTTCTAAGAAAGAGACTAGGTGAAATATTCATTTTGCTATGCTTTCGCTAACCCAGAATAAATCAGCTAGAGGTTCGTACAATTTCCCAATCTGGTAACACAGCAATTTGAAAAATTTTAACATCATACGCATCCCTCTTTTTGATTTTTTACTTCAATTGCTTATTGTTTAAAAGAGAAACTATGCATAATGTTGATATATCTTTCTTTTCTTTCAGCTGGCCGTATGTATACCACACAGTCCATAGAGACTGTCGGTATACCTAATGGTGCAGATCAGGGAATCAATGTGCTTGAACTTGAGGCCACTGATCATAGATACATAAATTTCAGTAGGAGGGTGCTTCGCAGGTTCTTTAACAAGTGTTATCATAAGGTGATGCATGTGCAACCACAACTGCGAGCTGGTAAGAATTAGAAAAACACTACTTTCTCTTTGGATGATGCTTCCTGGTGCATGTTTCCTCCTGACTTGAGTTGTTGGAAACTTAGACCACCTTAATTTTTTTTTTTTTTTTTTTCTATCAGCATCCTTTGCTATTGTAATAATTATACAAGAGATATCTCTTGTAGGTCCTAGTGATGAATTACGTTTGAGAGTTACTAATCAAGAGATGAGAGCGGAAGCACTTGGACTCGTTCGAACATATTCTTCATTGGTATGACAAGCTGTATAACCTTCACAAAGGCCATATACTTAAAATGTTTATTTCGGTTAACTATATAAACTAGTTAATTATATTATTATAGGTTAAATGCTAGATTTGGTCCCTCAACTTTAGTGGTTTGCACATTTTTGATCCCTTAATAATTTTTTGCACTTTTTTGATCCCTCAACTATACGAAATGCACTTCGTTAATCCTTTTGTTAATTTTGACTCGTTTATGTGATATTTTTTATTATTTTTTTGATGATGTGGCAAAGACAAATTAAAAACATGATAGACGTGAAATTTTTTTTTATGCCAACTCACATTATTACTTTTTTTTTTCCTTTCTCTTTTTCTCTTTCTTTCTTCCTCCTCTTTCTTTTTCTTCTTCCTCGAGCGAACCCAG